TATATATATTATAGGATTGATCAAAGTACAATATCTATTAGAACCGAAACAGTACAGAAATCTCAAATATTTCTAGCCAAAGACGAATGAACTTGGTATGAGGCTGGCTTGCTTATTACAGACTTTTTTCAGACATTGAAGTAGAAAAAAGAATGCCACGACTCAGTGTAGCAAATACTTGTAAGAGTATTTTGATTTATTTCTTATCTTGTAAACCCACTTTCTTTTTTTCGGGATTTAAAGTTTATTTGGAATATAACTAGCTGAGTGGGACGACTGACGGGCGATGATAGATAGATAGATAGATAGATAGATAGATAGATAGATAGATAGATAGATAGATAGATAGATAGTAGATAGATAGATAGATAGATTGATTGATAGATAGATAGACAGATACTTCCATTCCATTAGCATCACCGCTAATAAACCACTACAATATTACAGTTTTGGATACGTTGGCTTAACTACTCCCTGCACACCTTCACGCTCTGACTTCAACAACAACACCCCCCCCCCCTCCACCATTCCCCACTCCCTACTCCACTCCTCCTCCCCCCCACCCTTCTCCCCTCTGCCTTTTCCTTCCATAATCCCTGGCTTTATGGCTGTATCTACGTCACAACCGCAAATGTTCTTTCATACAAGTCAGTAAACACCCCTCAAGCCTAGAAGCCCGGCACAAAAGGCTACGGTCGACTACAACCTGATATACCCAGCGACTGCTGCAGGGGTCTTGGAATAAAATAAAATCGATAACACAGCATTCGGTTATCGATCTCAACAGGGTTGGTGAGCGGCCTGATCGACTGGTGGAACCCAGAAGCTCATTGTGTCTTGCTCGATCGCATTGTCTGTGTGGCGCAGGAAGCCGAATGCTTGAATAAACAACGGGCTCTTTGGGGAGATGGCCCAAGAGTCGCTGCGGGCGACAACGAACATGTTTTTATTAGATCGGATAGCGTTGCTTTGTGGGTTGGGTAATGTGAGGTTTTTTTTCTTCCTTCAGGTTTTGGGGGTTTTTTTCTTCAGGTTTTTTTTCTTTTCAGATTTTGGGGCTTTTTTCCCGTTTTTGTCTATTTGTTCTTGAGAGACAAGAAATACCATGTGGATGTTGTTTTGTTTAGTCAGTTCTATATTTACTCGTTGATTGACTCTTTGTAAATCTTCCTAAGCGTGGAGGTGTGAACATAATTTAGATTATTTAGGACGCGGGCTGCTCTAATCCGATTCAAAGGTGTCAGCCTGTTCTGAGCGGGATGCAACACCCCCAGCAGAAAGACATTAAATGTATGTAATATGCTTCCCAAAATTGAGAATCGAACTCAAGTCTTTTGCGTGCAAGAGTAGACAACCTACATATCACACCACAGATGCCAGCTTTTTTATTTCTGGATATTAAATGTTTTGTTTGTGGGAAGATCAGGGGAATTAGATATAAAGGGATGGGCGTGGTAAGAAGCTGAGAATGGAAAAGGTAAAAGATATCATTTAAAAGGAAAAATCACTGCCTGTCTCTCTGTCTCTATGTCTGCCTGTTTGATATCTATCTATCTATCTATCTATCTCTCTATCTATCTATCTATCTATCTATCTATCTATCTATCTATCTATCTATCTATCTATCTATCTATCTATCTATCTATCTATCTATACTATATT